GTGGCCTTGAGCAGCTGGAATGACAGCCAGGCGTTCTGGCCAGAGTCTCGGTCCACAGCCACCACCTTGGTGACCAGGTAGCCGGGCTCCGCCGCCCTGGGCAGCAGCTCAGTGCAGGGCGCAGAGGCGTTCTGTAGAGGGTAGAGCACGAAGGGCGCATTGTCATTGTCGTCCAGCACCAGCACACGCACCAGCACCTGGCTGCTGAGGGCAGGGGAGCCTTGGTCTGTGGCGGCCACGCGGAACTCGAAGGTCTTTAGAGCCTCATAGTCCAGCGCCCTGAGCGCGAACAGCTGCCCATTATCTGCATTGATGGAGATGAGCGAGGTCAAAGCCAGCTGCTGGTCATTGGGTGGCAGCAGCGAGTAGGTGATGTGGGCGTTGGGGCCTGAGTCTGAGTCTGTGGCTCTGATGGTGCCTATGAGCAGGGCGGGGCTGTTGTTCTCGCGGACAGACAGGGCGTAGGAGGATTGGGTGAAGGCGGGGGCGTTGTCGTTGACGTCGGACACCTGCACTGTTATGGTGTGCTGGGTTGTGAGCCTGGGTGAGCCCATGTCGGAGACGGAGATGGTGATGTTGTACTCGGCTCTGCTCTCTCTGTCTAGTGCTCCTTCTGTCACTACAGTGTAATAATCCTCAAAAGTTGGCCTCAAAAGAAACGGAAGTTCGTTCGGAATAGAACACACCATCCTTCCATTATCCCCAGAATCTGGGTCAGAAACACTGAAAACAGCAACTAGAGTCTCTGGGGAATTTTCTGGGATGGGTACTGTGAGCTTCCTGACCATCAATGCAGGAGCATTGTCATTCACATCCACTACCTTAACAAGAACACTGCATTTGCCTGAAAAGCCCCCTCCATCTGTGGCTGCTATTTCTATGTTGTAAAAGCTGGTTACCTCGAAATCCAACTCTTTGCTCAACCGAATTTCTCCTGTGGTTTTGTCTATTACAAATGGTTGAGATACTTCACCGCCTTGGAACAGAGAGTAGGCTACTTTCCCATTCATCCCAGCATCTAAGTCTGTGGCAGAGACCCTGACAACCAAGGCATT